TATCAGTTATAACTATCAATGTAAACGATCCCAATTCACCAATCAAAAGAAGCAGAATGGCAGAAAGGATCAAGAAATAAAATCCAAAAATATGCTGCATATAAAAAACACATTTAACACAAAAGGAAATTAACAGACTAAATGTCAAAGGATGGGAAATAACACTCCATGTGACAAGAACCCAGAAGAAAGCATGGGTAGCTATTCTGGTTGCTGACAATGTCAACTTCAAACCAAGTGTGATTAAAAGAGATAAAGAAGATCACTGCATACTTTTCAGTGGAAAACAGCAAGAGGAAGAGAAAATAATTATAAATATATATGCACCCAATGTAGGAGCACCCAACTACCTAAAACAAATTTTTAATAGACATAAAAAAACAAATGAGCAATGATGTAATGATACTGGATAATTTTGGCACCCCCATTAGAACAAAAAGATAGAATAGCTATGCAAAAATTCAGTAAGGAAATAACAAAACTAAGTCAAACTTATGAAGAAATGCTCTTAGTATAATTTTACAGAGTATTCCACCCAACAGCATTAGAATACACATTCTTCTCAGCTGCACGTGGGATGTTCTCCAAAATAGTCATATGCTAGCACATAAAACATGCTTAAGTAAATGCAAAATAATCAAAATTATTTCATGCATATTATCTGATCACAGTGCAATGAAACTGGAAATTATTGACAAAAGAAACAGCAAAATCTCTATATCCTCCTGATCAATGAAAGGGTTACAGATGAAATTAAAGAAGAATTTAATATTTTAAATCAAAGGAAAATACAGATACAACTTTTTGGAATCTGTGGGATGCGGTGAAAGATGTCTTAAGAGGAAAACTTACAGTGACAAACCCTCACATCAGGAAAATAGAATGAGCTCAAATAAGCAATCGTATACTATACCTCAGGCTCCTCAAAAAAGGAGAGCAAGTCAAGCCAAAAGCCTAAAGAAGGCATGAAATTATAAACAGCAGAGCAGAAATAAAGGTGATGGAGATGAAGAAAATAATTCAAAGAATTAATGAATTGAAGAGTTGGTTTTTTAAAGAATAAATAGTATCAATAAATCTCTAGTCAATCTTATCAAAAAATGAAAGAAAACATTCAAATTCATGTAGTAAGGAATGAAAAGGGTGAAATGAATACAGACCCTAGACAAATTCAGAAGATCATCAAGAACTATTTCCAAAATCTTTACTCTCATAGGATGGAAGCAAAACAAGAAATAGACAGATTCCTAGCCTAGATACATATGAACTACCAAAGCTTAATCAAGAAGATTTAAAAATTCTAAGCAACCCAATATCAGTCAATGAAGTTGAAAACGTAATAAAAGAAAAAAGCACACCAACAAAGAAAAGCCATGATCTTGATGAAGATTCATAGCTGAATCTTGCACTTCATTGAAATTGATAGGAAGCAGTTCTCCCAAACTCATTCCTGGAGGCAAGTATTGCTCTGATATGAAAACCAGAGAAAGATCCAACCAAAAAAGTGAACCACAGGCCAATCTCCCTGATGAACATAGATCATCCATCTAGTATCTCATGTTCCTCTAATTAGATAAAGCTTTATTTCTTCTCCTACCTGCAAGTCAACATTCTATTGTTCTCAGTTTCCTAAACTTCAAACATAATAAGAAAGAATGAAATCCTCTTCTCAAGGGCTGCTCTTGTTGTCTCAGGCTGAGAAAATGCTAGCTACAGAGAGTCTTGATTAAAAATTGGGCTAGCTAAGTCTAGGTCAAGATTGTGCCATTTGTTAGTTAAGGTGCTCATACAAGTTCTTCATGCCATTGAATTTGTGCTTTCACTGAAAAATTAAAATAATTTGCATAATTAACTGGACATTTGGTAGCTTTCTACTAATATGTTATTAGTTTTTATTTCAATTAAGTGTTTGCAGGTCTTTCTCCACTTTCTGATTTTTTTCAAAGAGAAATATCTCATTCAGAACTAATGAATAGAAAATCCACCTCTTCTGTTAAGAAAACTGATATATAGTAAATGAAAGGTAGGAATTAAGATTATGATTATTATTATTATTCAATTTTTTATTAACAGTATTTCTTTTCTGATTTTATATTCTGGCTGACAATACATGCATTTGATTTATTTATGTTTTACTATAAAAGTGGGAAAAGTAATTCACCTATAGGGTAAATATGGTTTCTAACTTATTTTTTAGAAGATTAGTTTTAATGCTTCACTTATATTAACAGCAAACTTTTAATTTGCTTTTCTTTTTTTTCAATGGTGTATTTGGAACAGGGTCTCACTACACAGATTGGACTCATAGTGATCCTCCCATTTTCAGTCTCCCCAGCACAGGAACTGCAGGCTTGCACCACCACATCCACCTAGACTCTGTAGCCAGCTCACCCTGCCCTAGGGGACTGGGTTGGTGTGGCATGAGGGACCAGGGATCAAACCCTAGTCACTGCGCTTGCCAAAGCAAGCACTTTGTCCACTAAGCTATTTCATCGGCAATGGAAAACTTTTAAATGGAGAAATTATAGCCACATCACTCTGCATTGCCACATACATATATCTGCAATGCGTAACAATTACATTTATCTTGGGGAACAGGTATGTATCCACATTGCAGCTTGGTCATTTGTACTTCCCCTCCCTTCCCCTGCCCTCTCCTCTCCATTTTTCCCCAGATCCCATTCCCATTTCTACAAAGCCTGCCTCCTACTTCCTACCATTGTTCTTTTATTTTTCTTTTTAAGTCATTTATGTTTTGGATTTCTCATATGAGAGAAGACTATAATCTATATCCCTCTATGTCTGATTTATCTCACTTAGCATCTGGTCTCAGGCACTATGGTTTCTTAATGTTAAGGTCCCTCCATTTTCCTATAAATAAGTCCAATTTAAACTGCTTTATGGCTGAGATACAGCACATATTTTTAATTTACCATAAGTTCTAGAAAGGAAGAATTAATTTTGCCTATTTTATATTACTCTTACTGTGCAGTACACATTTGTGTCCATTGGGCCTAAATTTATTTCCTTTTGTGGATCAATAATCTAAGTTTAGAATATCTTTCATACTTAAAAACGAATATGTGAATGCAAGACATTTTATTACAATTTGTAAGCACTTAAATTTGTTTGCTTACAGTTAATTCACTTAGCACCAGCAGACTCCTACTTACCGGCTGAAACATAGAGGTGCGTTCCTGTTTGGTGTGGCATTACCTGTTCTTTGATGCTCTATGTCAGACCCGAGGGTCTTTCTATCAGATTGCGGAGGACAAGGTAGGACTATTGTGACTGGCTTCTGAAAAGGGTGAGTTGATGGATGTTGAACATGAATCAGAGGGCTTGTGGACAGTACTGGGTAGGCAGCATCTTGCTGTGTTTTTAAATATGTCACCAGAGAGGGATCAACTGGCTGGATCTAGACAAAGGAATGATATATATTCATATGTATGTATATATGCACATGTAGTGGCTAAATATGCAAATATCAGCATTCCTGGGCCAATCTTCTGAAAAATATTCAGAACATAGCCATGTGTTTCTCTGTACACTGCTGACTAGAAACATGACATCATATGAGATGTCATCAAAAAATACTGTGAATGTTTAAATTTAAATACTGTATTTCAGTAAAAGACACATTCCTTTTGATTTCCCTAAAAAATATTCCCACTTTGAACATACTTGTCCCATTGTACAGAACTGGTCGCTTCTGGATGTGTTTCTGGGAACCTCCTGGCATGAATATCTTTGGTTGACCTGTCCCAGCTGCCCGACTGTCCTAAATCAATTCAAAAACTTTACCTTTCGTGGATATTCTGATGGGCCAGAAGTCACAAGGTGCCAGACCTAGTGATTAAGGTGGATGACAACACACTTTATTTTTCTTTCTTGAGCCTGATTTTCTGTTGGACGGTACCTGACAACATCACCGACTATATATTTCATTGTATCTTACAAAAAAGAAGTCTTTCAGAACTGCATCAAAGAGTAGCAAGAAAGATTGGATATGTGTGTTCAGAGCAAAGGGGAATATTTTGAAGGCTAATGGCAGTGTGTCTTTTACTGTAATAACATTGTTCTATTTCGATCAACTCTTGTATGCAAGAATACCACTTGAATCTGTTCTTACAGAATCTTTCTGAAACCCAAGTTCCCTTTCCTATACTATAAATAACCAAGAAACACTGTAAATATTAAGCACCAAAATAATCTAGCAAGCAAAAGAGACATTTTATATGATTTCTAATCAGTATTATTTTTAGATCAACGATCTTTAAACATTAGAAAACAAGACTATGTTTATGCATTTCCCCCTCACACAAGAATAGCTTTTAAAAACAGCTAGAATTTCAAACTTCATGAGAAATATTTATTTATAAAGCATTCATAATGTTTTTCTCCTAATCTTCCTGCTTCACTCATCCTTATGACTATGAGAGAAACAGAAAAGCAGAGTGAAGAGTCGAAGCCAGAAATAACGGGGACATTATTTAAGGAAATAAAACATTTGTTGATAAACCATTACACACATTGTAAAATGTATATATTAAATCTTTATTTCAAAACAGCTATCACAATGTAAATGTAACTAAATACCCATAACATTAAATATTTTGATTGATTAGTATTTTGATGCCAAACTCACAGAAATAATGAGCTACATGAATGTTCCAAAGTCTGTCACCATTTGTTTCCTAGGAATTCAACTTATGCATTCATCAATAAAAATTGTACAGCAGCATCACTGACTAGCTGGGAGAAACTTACTTTTTTATTTATTTAGTACAAGGGTCTACAGGGTCTCACTACACAGATTGGACTCATAGTGATCCGCCTGCTTTCAGACTCCCAAGCGCTGGGATTACAGGTGCATGCCACTATGCCCAGTCTCAGTCTCTGTCTCAGCGCACCTTAGGGGTGGGGCCAGCACGCACAGGATTGAACCCCGGTTCCTGCAGCTGCCTAAGCAGGCACTTTAATTCGCTGAGCTATCTGGCTGACCCTAAGAATCTTCCAAATGAAGCAGGGATTTATTTTGAAATGAGATTCAATGTATTCAAAATCATCACTGCATCATTTATATCCATATGTGCTAGTCCCTTCCAGTGAGTGAGGACTTCAATCCAGGAGAAGCCAATCAGGGTTTAAGGTTTACCTTTAACTGTACGAGCACTGGTGAGCTGAAAGCTCCTGGAGGGTAACAGAAGGCTATTCGGGAATCCACGCCGGACTTCAGTGTGAGGCCTTTCTTTGTTACTATGAAGGACTCTTTCTTTAAACAAGACACAACAGAAAACATACCCAGTTTGTAAGCTTTCACTGCTGCGCAAGTTCCCTGTGTGGATTAAAGGGCAGTAAAAAAGCAAGTTACAGCAATACTTCTGGAAGTGCACTCTATAAACTATCCAAAAATCCCACATGCTGTCACTATAATTGCTTGTAATTTGGCATGAGCCCATTAGCTGAAAATCTATGATCCTTTCATGAAATATAGAAGCAGATTACTAAGAGGGACTCAGAGTTGGAGCACACAAGAGAGAAAGAAGAAGTGAATGCATTTTTAAATTTAAATTATATTCCCCAAATATATATGTATAGTGGGACACTATTTCCAGTGTTTTCACAAATATTAATTACTTTGGGCTCCTCACCTGCTTTAAATAAAGTGAATTTTAATATAGATCATTATCCTGAATATTCAACAATTGTTTAGAGAATTTATACTTTGGGTAGTGTATGCAAATGCCATAGCACTGGTACTGTTAGAAAATTCTTCCTTATAACAGATCCAAATCTTTTTAAGATGCCAAATAAAGTCTTTTTCTCTCTCTCTGCAGTGGGAGCAGATGACTGTGAGAGACACATTTGTGTTTCTTTTCTGTATAGTGATATTCAAATGTAATCATATATGCAGGCACATATTCAAACTTTTTTAATCACACAAAAGCGAACTGAGTACATAAATGAAAACAAAATGATCTACCCATATAATCACCAAAGCTTAAAATGAGGAGGCAGATTGAGAGTAATTTGGTCTATTCATGCTTCCCCAAACACCAGCCGGACTCCGCCCCAGCGTGAGTGGGTAATCAGGCAGACACACACACAAACATTCAGGGACAATCACAATGGAAAATAATCTTTCATTTGAAGGCTGACTAAGGAAGGGATTTCACAATATCCCTGCATGAATTTGTCTCTGGGAAAATTCAGAGCATGATGAATGTTCTTAATTGGCCAGAGGGAAAATGGTGGAAATTAAGAAAGGGTAGCTTCCTGGGAACTCATGGGGTTGGGAAATCAAAGTGTTTTGAAGAACTAGAATTTTTAAATGTCATGGAACTCACATAAAGAGTTGGAAGGAATCCAGAACTTCAATTTTCTTGACCTAAAATTAGGGGTAACTGCTATACATTTATTACAAAGAAAAAAGTATACGCTATTATTTGTATGGGAGCCAATAAATCTCTTAATTTTTCTTTTGACTTGATTATCCATTTACTAAACATCTCTCAAATTCATTTCATGAAAAGCATGTGTGCAACATTTGCTTTTATTATATAGAAACACAGACTAGTCAAGACTGAAAGGGGTAATCTTGAGCAATGTTGATGAGAATTTTGTATTTCCAGGCTTGCTGGACTAAACATAAAATATATTACTTGCATGAATTAGAAGGAAATAGTAGAATAGACTCAGCTTTATTTTCCAACTACATAATCTAATTTGTAGTATGGAAAAGGCAAAATCAGAAAAGGGGCTTATTATAAACTTCTTTTTAACATTTACTTCCTGCCATCCTCATCAAATAAGAAAAGCATATATATAGCCGAAAAAATTAACTCTTTGGTTAAAAATTATTTCAGTGGCATACAAGAGAACCTTAAATATTAGTTCAACTTGAAGTCAATTTTCTTGACCTAAAATTAGGGGTAACTGCCATACATTTACTACAAAGAAAAAAGTATATGCCACTCTGCAAAACATGTAGTAACCAGATTTGAAACCCTACAGATCCTCCCTCAGTGATCCTGACCACCACATATTCTCTCTTCCATGTACAGACTAAAGTCTATTTGCTGGTCTACAATGTCAACAAAGCAAGCACACATACACATTATTATTATGAAGTTAATTAAGCCGTATGTTGGCTTTGTTTCCCGTATAAAAAAATAACATTTGCTGGATCCTGGACCCAAAGTCTCCATTCCTCACTTTAAAAACTAAATTATTTACTTTAATCTGTATAAATTATAAAAAGCCACAAAGGTACTGATGTGAATATATCAACCCTTTCCTGTCTTTTCAATGGAGTAATTCTATCTACATTGCTATCGATTAACATAATAGAAAAAAGCCAAAGAGCAGATGCAGATGTAGCCCAAGATGTATAGACCTTATAGCTTTTCATTCCTTCCAGGGAAGTCGGGGACAGGTAACTTGATTGAAGGTTCGTGTCAGACACTTTCACCATGATATCTCTGTAATTTCCCCGGGAACAGACAGTGAAGGGAATGGCGATGCAGATTGGAAACGGGATCCTCTTCTCCTTATCTGAGCATTCAACAGAGACTACATTGCTGACCAATTCTTCATTGTCGGTCACAATTAAAGAACTCAGGCTGTTACTTATCCTGCATTCTAGTTGCCGCAGAATGTACGACGGTGCTGTAATGTAACAAGACACTTGGGGGTCTGCGCCATCACTCGGCACATCGAGATACCTGTAGGAAAAGGTGAGCATTTCCCCCATTATTTAGTTATATTTCTATACTTTAGAGTCAGAAACAGAAAGGCAAACACTCTAGAGCACCGTGTCTTAGTGTGCTCGTGCTTACTGATCTTGTGAGCTGGGGCAAGATACTTAGCCTCTTCATGCCTCAGTTTTTCCAATTGCAGCCTGGTGCAGAAAGAAAACCTACCTCAAAGACACGTGAGAATTAAGGGAACCGTGATATGCTAAGCACCTAGAAAGATCTGCGCCTCGAGTACAGCGGGCATCATCATAATGTTACCCATTTCTTGTTGTTTATCATTATTATCATTATTTAAGTGATTGTGTTTTTCCTCAGTATTGTTCACTACACGGTAAAATTGAAAATTGATGATTTTTAAAAAATAAACAAGTGGTAATTCCTAAATAGTTTCTTAAATTTTGAGGAGACAGAGGAATCACTTGTAAGGAATCAGAATTCTCTAAGCACACTACATTAAAAGATGATGCTTTGGGCTTTATAGAAAAAACTGAGAAAGATTTTTCACAAAATATTATGAATTTAAATAATATTCATAATATTTAAATAATATTCATAATATTCACAAAATATTATGAATTTAAATAATATTCATAATATTTAAATAATATTCATAATATTCACAATTTAAATAATATTCATAATATTTAAATAATATTCATAATATTTAAATAATATTCATAATATTCACAAAATATTATGAATTTAAAGTCGATGAATGACCACCCTCCGCTAATCATAACAAAAATATATTTTTATTTTTTATTTTACACATTTTAACCATCAACTTTGTTGAAGATTTTGTAGCTTTAATATATATTTGAAAATAGACACTTATGATTTGTTTGATGATGTTAATAGCTATTTGAAAATAGCTAATATTTTAAATCTCTGTGAGGATTTAATTTTTTATATTTCATTTAATCTTCACAATTATTGTGTTTGTCAGGTATTACTGTTATCACCATCTTACAGATAAGACATTTGAAGCTTAGACAGTTTTAAGTTCACACATAAAAACGAAAGTTTTAAGTTCAGGGCTAACGGTATAACTTAATGGCAGAGTCCTTATCTAATGTACATTAGGATCTGAATTCAGTACCTAAAATGCCAAAGAATATTTTTGAAAAATATTTGACAGGCTACAAATCCCACAGATGATAAATTTTTGAACAAATAGCTAGCTCCATCTACCTTCTTTTTGTGTCTATTTGTCTGGTTGTTCATTTGATTGGTCTTGTGGTGATGGGCTGAAGCCTGTCACATGCTAGACAAGCCCTCTACCACTAAGCCACATACTCAGGCCTTTCACTAGAATTTTATTTTGGAAGGAGTCTTGCTAAATTGCCCATGCTAGGATGAATTTACAATGCTCCTTCCTCGGGCCACTTGGAGCTGTCATTATAGGAATGTGCCACCTTCCCAAGTCTTCTGTTCATGTATCTTTAATGTAAACACTCAACCTGTTAAAAAATTATATTCCTTCAAATCTAAGATATTGATTAAAATGGTAATTTTCATTACAAATGAAAACTAATATATAATTGATACACATATGAAGATGGACTGAAAGAAGATAGTTAGGCTTCTTATAGTGTCATGTTGGATGCTAAATAAATGTTAGATTTCTACATGAAAATTATCAGCTAGGGTTTCTCCTCTTCTCATTGTACACCAGGAAATGATTGAAATATGAGATTGTTGAAGAGAAATGAGAGGATCTATATTTTTCCACAGCATTATATTTTCAGCTATAAAGTTATTAAACTTTAGCTATTTACCAATCAGAATTTTAAGTTCACTGTAACAAAAATTTACAACGAAAGTGTGGAAATTGTACACAGAGGCCATTTATTTATATTAATAATAAAGATAGAGTAGAAAATTACCCAGCACATTGCCCTGCTAGAGTATTCTCTAGTGACAGTGAGAATGGGAATTAGAAAATGAGAAACACAGTTCAGTAGAGGATACAGTGACCCAGCTCTTGTAACTTCAGGAATGGCTCTCTTCTGTGTTCTGGAAGACACCTCAAAACCCTCCTTGTTCTGAAGCCTTGGTTACCAGTTGACAGATAAAGTAGAATGAGGAGACCAGCAAATGGTTCCATTTTCCTCAGTCCCAATCCAATATGACGAACCTAGGCAGTGACACAAATTCCCTTGGCTTATTCCAGTATTTTTCCCTTTTGTGTACGAAATAGGACATTTATACTAAAGGTGATGTGGTTATTTTGGAAAGTTAACCATGGTGGAGTCACAACAGATTCTGAGCAAGGTTTTGTTTATGACATACATATCTTATACAGCATGATGTCTTCCCAACCTGGGATATTGCATTGAATAGTCATCTTCTTAAATGTGCAAGCCAAGCACAATTGGTCTAGATGTCACAAAGAGGAAATCACTAACCAGGGCACACCTAAAGGAGGGGTTAGAGTGAGTGGTTCGGCAATGACTCACTCGCTGATGTTTTGAGTCACTTCTGAAAGTAAGGATATAGAGTCAATGTTTTCCTCAAGTGAAATGGGTAACCACATCTTGCGTACTTGAACACTGGCTTTGCTAAAAGAAGGTCGTTCATACATTGAAAGACCCATCCCTTGAATTCATCACATTATCTGATCTATAAAGACATCACAATAAACCTGGCCCAAACTCTTCATCATAAAAATAACTAAGGTCAATGTGAGAAGAATGATTCGCTGAAGATCACAGGTCGAGTGGTATTGTCCTGAAAATGGCATTCAATGTGTGTGTGAAAGAGCATCAGTACCTGATGACAAAGAATGGGGCAGCAGAAGAGTAGACCGAGTCAGAGGCTGGGAAGCTGACGATGGTTGGAGGTGTAATACACTATCACCAGGCCATTTAGCCGAACACAGAGCCCCTCACCAGGGCACAGTGCTAGGCCTTTTCCATGATTTTCTCATTTGACCTTACCAAATAGTCTCAGGAAGAACATACTATTTCTACAAACAAGAAAATGAGGATAACAAGTGAAGCAAGGGCCCCAGAGTCATCAGAACAGTATATAATTTTTTAGAAAATTGAGGTTGTCTGACTCTCAAACCAAATGATTTCCCCTTCTCTATTCCTCATTGTCTTTTAAAGGTATTAATTATATTTATTTAGGAAAATGTAGTTTGTGAATTTTTCATATTATCTGAACAAATATAAGATTATCACTCATTCATAAAGGAGAAATAATTCATGAAATATGTAAGTCTTTTTAAATTTTTTTTAAATCTTAGCCTTTTAAAGAATCTGGTAAGAACTGTAGATAATTTCCAAGGAGATAAAATAAGTATGGAGATATATATTTAGCTTTAAGTGTCCTTCAAAGTTTATCCATGAGCCCCTAAAATTCTAAAGACAAAGAATAAAAATTCAAGAAAATTTTTGAGAATATAAATAACATGGAAATTCTCTTCATTTTTTAGAATTCTGTAATCTCAGTTTTACTCACATAATTCAGAAAATAGTAATTTAGAAGTGTCAGTGCTCTAAGCAATTGTTTTTTAAATAAATTTTTCATGTGATCCTTTTTTTCTTTTAGAGAAGTATTTAATATATTTCTTTCTTAAAATCATTTGTAATAGTAATCACAAATTACAAAGGATAATTCAACCTGAAGTAATGACTTACAGTGTCCTTTTTGGAGATATGACATGGAAATGTAAAATGTTACTGATGCATGAATCCTACTTATCTTATTCATGTGCACTACCATGGTTGAAAGACTGTGTCCTTCCAAAATTCATAGGCTGAAGTTATAACCCTAAAGTGGTTCTATTGGAAGGCAGGCCTTTCTGAGGGTATCAGGGCATAAATGCAGAGTCCTCTTTTAATGGATTGGTGGCCTTATAAAATAGGAGCAAGGGGACTTGTTCGCTTCTACTACAAGTAAGGACACAGAGAAGTGTCACCTCTAAACTAAAAAAGCCTCAGTAGACACAGATCTACCCATACTTTGATCTTAATCTTGTTCTCTACCCAAAGAACTGCGAGAGGTTGTTTAAAAGTCCAACTTTTGATATTATGTTCCAGCAGCCTAAACAACTAAGATGCCTATACACGAGAGCAATACCCACGTAACAAGAGATGTATAAGTACTTTTTGTGCTGCATTTACTTACTCCTGCTCCACAATGTTATCTTGTTGTTTTTGATTTTTTGAGTCATTGAGATCATTCACATATTCATCGGGGATATCACATGCTGTTGAGGATGTGGTCATCTCGTCTCTTAGGTTCTCTGGGGTTTCTTTAATGTCTCTTTCTGTTGTCTGGATTATGTCATGAATCTGTTCCTTGTTGCTGTTTATGTGCTCAGCAGTCATGTGTTCTATTTGTTTATCATCTCCATTTTCTGCATTATCTGGGAACATTGTGTTCTGTGACTCTTCTTGCCCAGTTACATTTCTGGCTAATGATGCGTTGTTTTCATTTTCTACCAACACAGAATTTATATGTGTTTTATTGTTTTTTAACTGGACCTGGTTTGCGTAATGATTTTTCTCTCCATTTGTGCAGGAAACAGTAGCTGTTTCTATGACAGTTAGTTTCCCTCTTGCAGCAATGCTTGTTGCTTTGGAGTCTTGAATGGTGCCCATTGTCTGTTGTGGGGTATGTTCATCATGCATGCTGCATAAATTACACATCTCCTTTTCTTCTTTCTTTAGAAGCATAGCAGTGTTCCCCAAATGTTCATTCATTTTCATGAGGCACTCTATGAAAGTAATAATTTCTGCACATGCACATATACATGCACAAAGAATAGGAACAAAACTGAAAAAATTATGAAATGGCATCACCGCATAATGAGGTATGACAAGACAATTTTAAAAGCTTGCAAAGAGTTTTACCAGACATTTAAGCTAACTTCCTGAAACAAGAGACTTTTGCACATCTGACACTTCTAGAATTTCTAGGAGTTGGGAACACAGTATTTAACATAATAGCAAAGAGTAAATCTGATCCCTACTGTCCTTCAAAATGCCTTGAATTGTAAAGATAAATATCATGATCCCTTCTCCCCAATAAAAATTGATGTCAGACTCTCTATCAATCATTCTTCATTTGGTATAATTTTAAGAATTGGTCCTGGATATACTTACTATAGTTTATCAATTATACATTTAAAAACCTGGGCCTAAAATTAGCCAAACATGCCAGAAGAGGCCTAGGTAGCAAAAGTGCTTTAGTTATCTTGTTTTGGCTGCTGTAGACACTATATTTCAATGAGGGGCAGTATGCTGCTCTAAGAATTAGACAAATTTGATACTATTTCTCCTACGAAGCTTCTGATTGCTAACAATTCTCAAATCAGTCTTTCAGAGAATAGCTTTGTTCCTGCAGAGCCTTCCCAAGGACCACAAGACCACGCCATGCTGTCCTCCATCGCAGTCTGATCTGATGTGGTCTCTCACCCTGGCCCCATTTCATACCATTCACCCACATGTGCATTCCTCCTCTCACAACTGAGAAGACTTATCTGATGACCCCTTACAGGCTTAGCACTTCTGTAGTGCTAAACTCAATTCAAAGCTAAGGAATCTATGACTGGCCCCCACTGCTTAGCGGTTTTGAATCATCACCAAATGATACTTCAAATCGTCCAAAGGTTTGTCTTTGGACTCCACTTCTGACAACTTGCCACTTGTCTTCTACCTACAAATGCCTTTTTAAAAATTCCCACTTTCTGGTAACGGAGTCCTTATTGTGACCTGTTGCCTATGACTGTATTTGATTCTGTTCAGGGACTCGAGGTCTAGACATGAGCACTAGCTGATGGCTCCTGAGTCCTACACCTTTGACCAATTTCTCACTCTTTGTCCTTTAGACAGTAATATATTAATATTATCTACCTTGGACTCCACATTGATGAGGCCTGCCTACCCACTTTGACACTGTATCATTTAGAGTTGAGTTTCATGATACCACTGTATCCTTATCTGGAGAAACTACTGTTCTTGCAAGATTATATTTATCAGATTTTTTTTTTACCCTACTACACTAACATAAATGGCCTTAGTCCCAAAACCTTTCCATCTCTGCTAGATGGGGGATTCAGTTATCTATCCCTAGTACTGTTGCAATTAACAGGTCCATCCTCAAGTGACTCTAGAGATGGAGTACTGTTTTCCAGTACTTAAAAAAATTGCTTGTTGTGCCTCAGAACTGGCCTACAATTCCCAACTCTAAGCCTTGGATCCCACTAGTACCCTAAAACTCCCAAATTTCCAGGTATCTGACCCCAATTCATTCTGTAAGCCACACTCTAAATGCAACATTTTTTTGTCTCACAAAATTCTGGATTCTTTACCCTAGATGTAGGATTCTTCCTGCTTCCAAAGTCCAAAAGTGCTTCCTGAGTGTGTCTGTCATGGAACTGGCCTCAGAGCTCTGGCATCAGCGTGCCTGTGTCTTGCCTGACTTCCTCTATTATACTCTTGGACCCTGGTAAGCAGAGACTGACTCGAAAGCACTTAGCACATCTCAGTTATTGCCTCCACTGAGATTTCTTAGAGAAGGAATAAACCAAAAGCTACTTGCCTTGTCTCCAGGTACCCTGGTTCTCCTTGTCGAGCAGTGTCCACAGCCGCTGGCAGGTGGAGTTCAGGGTCCCTGCAGTGTGCTCCAGCAGCTGCTGAAGGGCACTGCTGAGCTCTTGACCCAGAAAGACCATGGTAGCTACCCAGCTGGCCCCACCAGCCCCCTCACAAAGACCCTCGCTCGGGAGCGCCTGCTTCAGCATTTGGTTCTGTCTCCAAACCTGCTTCAATATTTGGCCTAGTTTACCTGATCCCAGGTCTTCCATTTCCATTTTGTGCTCCCAAAATTTTCTTTCCTGCCAGCAAAGACTAAAGGTTTAGCAAATCCAGTCTTGGCAAGAGTTATTTCTCCTAAAATCTAGGAGATGATCCAAGTCAGCTAGCCAAGCACTTTCCTCCAACATAATAGTTTATTCAGCTTTTTGTTGACCAGAGAAAAGTTACTAGGTGACCAAAGAAGGGGGCGTTCCTGGGCGCTGTGGTGCACAGAGGATTAGCCACAAGCACAGAGCTAGCTCTCAGAACTCACCTCTCCACATAAGTTTTACAAACTCAGAACAATACCGGCAACCCAGATACCTTTCATATTTTGAGGCAACAAAATACAGATTCCAGATGGGATTTGAAATGTATTCAAAGGTAAACTGTATTTATAATATAGTTAATAAAATTTCAGCATATGCATTTTAAAATAATTACCAACAAAATAATGCAAGAGTTGAATTGCTTCAACATCATCTCGGGGACCCATGTGTGGTAGTGCACATCTGTTATCTCAGTACCAGGGAAACTGAGGCAGGCAGATCAACATTCATTTGAAGCCAGCCTGGGCTGCATAGGGAGCTCAAGCCAAGCTAAACTCCATAGTCAGACCCTTTCTCAGAAAAACAAAAACATAACCCAAAATAATTCAGGAAGGTAGGAGAGGGTACAGACAAAATGTGTTTAGCCATAAAAATTCATAATTATTAGCCATACACAGTGATACATGCTTGCAGTCCCAGGTACTAAGGATGCTGTGGCAGAAGATCATAATTTTGAGAATACCTGAGCAATTTAACAAAACTCTGTATTAAAATAAAAAGAATTAGAGATATAATTCAGAGGTAGGGCTTTTAGCTTGCAACTGGGAAGCACTGGGCTCAGTAACCACTGCAAGGAAAAAACTGTTGAAGCTTGGTACAATTACAGGCTGGAAGTGGTGAACATTTATAGTTTTTAAGAGTAAAGAATTAAAAAGAAAACGATTCCTCTACTGAACCAGAAAGATATTGCTATTGTTCATTAAATATAATTTAGTTAGTACTTCCTTGTGTGGTAAATCTGCCTCAAACTTGTAATAGAAACCTGATCTTTCTATTCTGTGATAGTTGCCCTTTAATTTGACAAAATGCTTCCTCATTAAAAGAAAGCAAACTCGTAAAAAATTAAAAATAAAAATAAACAGGCGGATCAGTACGAGTCTGATCTAGTAGTGAGACCCTGAACACCCTGTAGCCCTTCCCTAAAAAATACAAATA